GCGCCCTATGCACCCCATGCTGCCCACTGGTGGCAGAAGAGACCCAGACTTCACGAAACTATGTGTTGTTCTCTTTTTTGCTGAGTGCCTTCTGAGACTTGACTGCTCGAGTCTTTATTTCGCCTCAAAACTGGGCGACAACCGATGATGCTCATCCCAGGCCATGATGCTGATGATGCGGCACAAAAGGCCTTAACATCCCAAGGTCAAAGCCCAGGGATATCATGTTCAGGTCTGCCTGTGGCCCATTCAGAACAAATCCAAAACATAGTTCTTAAGGAGATCGCTTCTTACTTCTCCTCAAGCAAGCTCACAAAACAAGCGGCTGCTTCGGCTTTCGATGAGAGTCAAGTACCATAGATTATGTGGCAAGCTTTGGGTGCTGCCAGTTTCGCATGTTCTCAAAAAGTCCGCAGTCGATACGGGCATGATTGGGTATATTTGGCGGGATGCAAGGTCCTGAACATCTCTTCACGTACAGATAACATCTCATGACTGCCTCGCGCAGTGTCTCTGAGTCCTGGAATCTGCTTCTGCACAATGATTCTCATCCAACGCACTATCACCTGCGTCACGTGCCGGTCGATGTGCTCAAAGCCCACCATCTCCCGAATCAGGGTCCTTCTTCTACTGTAGGCCTCCGCCCTCTCCGAGTCTATGTGGCCAGCCGTGCCCTTGGATTGTTTGCAGCAAGGCAACCGGAACCTGCAACCTGGAAGCCGCATGAAGGCACAAATCGCTCATACACTGACACGGTCCATACATGCTTCGAATGTCCCAGGAGTCCAGAATCGAGACTGCACGAGTCAAGTTGCTCTGAAAGAGATGCTGCAAAACAGAGCGAGCCTTTAATTAAGGGCCTTACAGTAAGACAGTCCCTTGTAAGCCCATTGGAAAACAAGCATCAGCTATGTGGATGCCTTCCAGGCCCTTCACCGGGCCCATCAGGTGGTCTCGCGGCCTGCGCGCAGCACTTCCGAGCAGATCTGCTGTAGTAGGCCGTATGGAACACTGCGCGCTGGAATCTCGCAACATATTCGGTTCGATAGAATACTTTAAACCACCACATTCGATTATACTAGACTATGACCCTACACTGAAAGTAAGTTCTTCCAAACACACACACACACACACACACAACCACACGAAGCTCGCATCCAACGGCCCAACAGAACCTGCGGTAGACTGCAACCCTCACAACTCTCACCCATCCCTCCCTCAGCCATCGCCTCCTGTGCGTCAATTGTGTCTTCTGCCTCGACGTGCCGGCAAAGGTCCCCGCATGTCCCCGCATCTTAACAGGATCCGATTTGTTGAGGCAACAATTAGAAGTCGCTGTCTGCTAGAACACGTGTTGTGTAGCCTAGTACCGAGTAAAGTATCGTGCCATGCAGGACATGCATCAGCCTTTCATTCTGTCACTTTGTCTCCTCATGACTGGGAGGGATGGTCAACTGATCTGAGGCCCACACTCTTTGTGGAGGCTGCTCATTTCTTTGCTCATCAGGAGACTGCCTGGAAAGATATTGCAGTAGTCTGAGGTAAGTTCTGCTGCACACTGCTTGACTTTCGAATGTCGCCTTCAACAAAAAATCGCGTCGAGTTCTGAGTCGAGGCCTAGTCTAGTCAAGAGGTGGGCCTTGCTCGAACGGGATTTCCCGAACAGAGCAGAGGCCCGGCGCGTTCTGGACAACTTCTTGGAAACAATTTTCTTGTACGATAATTACCTGCCCTCGGACAAGGCCCTTGAGAATCCTCACCGTGTTGTTGGAAGACACGGTCATGGTGAACAGTTCGTCGGTGGTGGGTGGATTGAATTCTTGCATCATGTCTGTCATCAAGGAAAGTGCTTCTCTTGAAGAGCCAAGGTTGAATGCCCATTTTCGAATGTCTGCAACAGTGTCAGTCAGCCAGCCTGCGTTCAGTTTCACAGAGATGGCGCCGAGGCATCTGGTGACGACAAGGATCGGGAGTCAAGTCGAAACCCGTTTGTTGCCATGTTGGCGTGCCATGATACCCAAGGCACCGGTAGCGGCAGCACCAGTAGCAGCAGCAGCAGCTGCTGCTGCAGTGATGCTACCGGCTCCACCGAACGCCGCACCCGAGGCACCGGTAGCAGCAGCTGCTGCAGTGATGCTGGCCACTCCACCGACAGCCGCACCCGAGGCACCGGTAGCCGCAGCTGCTGCAGTGATGCTGGCGGTTCCAGCTACAGCCGCATTAGCAGCAGGTGCTGCAGCGATGCTGGCGGCTCCACCGAACGCCGCACCCGAGGCACCAGTAGCAGCAGCTGCTGCAGTGATGCTGGCGGCTCCACCGAACGCCGCACCCGAGGCACCGGTAGCAGCAGCTGCTGCAGTGATGCTGGCCACTCCACCGACAGCCGCACCCGAGGCACCGGTAGCAGCAGCTGCTGCAGTGATGCTGGCGGTTCCAGCTACAGCCGCATTAGCAGCAGGTGCTGCAGCGATGCTGGCGGTTCCACCGACAGCTGCACAAGCACCAGTAGCAGCAGCTGCTGCTGCAGTGATGCTGGCGGCTCCACCGAACGCCGCACCGGAGGCACCGGTAGCAGCAGCTCCTGCAGTGATGCTGGCCACTCCACCAACAGCCGCACCCGAGGCACCGGTAGCCGCAGCTGCTGCAGTGATGCTGGCGGTTCCAGCTACAGCCGCATTAGCAGCAGGTGCTGCGCTGGCTGCACAGGCACCAGTAGCAGCAGCTGCTGCTGCAGTGATGCTGGCGGCTCCACCGAACGCCGCACCGGAGGCACCGGTAGCAGCAGCTGCTGCAGTGATGCTGGCCACTCCACCGACAGCCGCACCCGAGGCACCGGTAGCCGCAGCTGCTGCAGTGATGCTGGCGGTTCCAGCTACAGCCGCATTAGCAGCAGGTGCTGCAGCGACGCTGGCGGTTCCACCGACAGCTGCACAGGCACCAGTAGCAGCAGCAGCTGCTGCAGGAATGCTGGCGTTTCCACCGACAGCTGCCCCAACAGTACCGGTAGCAGCAGGTGTTCCAACAAGATGGGCAGCAGCCGCCGTTCCTGTGGTTCCCATGGCAGACACAAAGGCAGTCTGCCGAAAATCTTGCCACTGGGTAGTCGTAAGGCTATTGGGATCTTGGATGCACTGCTGGACGAAATGCTCGCAGTTGTTTGTAAAGAAGCAGTAACTTGCTTCACCAAGCAATTGTCGTGCTGTGTCTGCAACTCGATTCCCCATCTGCTCGGTATCAGGGTACCACACAACGTGCAACTGAGGAAACTCCTGGCAAAACTTCTGAAAAGAACAGGTCTGCACAACACACCTCCAGAATGACTCTCCAGGCAGAGGCATGTAGTGGATGACCTCTTCTAGACCACAGTAGAGGGCATGATGCTCAGCGCCCAGCCGCGCATAAGCTTTGAGGTGCGTGCCTGGGCGAGGCTGCACGTACTTGAACTTCTTGTGGTAGTCGCCCCATCCAGCATCCACTTCCACCATATCCATGATTGAATTCGCGGGCGCGGCTTCAATTCCTCACTTTTGCGAGTTAAGCCGTGGCTATCCTGAGAGCCGTCTGTGGTTGCGGCAGAGAGCTCTCCGAACAGTCCAAATTCGCTTCAAGCCTCGCTGGGAAAGCTCATGCTAGCAGTCTGTGCAAATTCCCGGCTGCGGATACTACTCCGACTCATGATACGCACTGTGAGTCAGGGATTGGAGGGCTAAAAGCATGACCGAGAGCGTGCTTCGTCTAGCAGCAAAGACGCAAGGGCCACTCTTGGGAGCTGACTCGCGGGGCCAAGCCAACGAATGCGAGCTGTTGAGGACGGAATCCTGTGCTTCGGGGGGTTGGTGTCTCATTCAACCTCAGAGGGGCCTCTGACCCCTCAACACTCTGGTTTGCTGCTCCGACCTCCAACGCCTAAGACTCCTCAGCCTGCCCATGTCGTTTCTTAAGGCTGCGACGAGCTGGCGAGACCGCTCGAATGTTGTTGCGCTTGCACCACTACAGCTTAAGCTGAGGTATGGATCCTCAGGTCCTCGACCCCGCCCCCCCCCCCCCCACCGTGAAATGGCTTTATGGTAGGTGTGATTAAGGAATATTGGCTTTGAGTTTAGAGATGACCGAGCGGCTGTACCACGGGACAATGCTGACAAAATGGCCCACAAAGAAAGAAACTCCACCCTACAGAAGACAGACCCAAGTTTATCTTCAAGGATGGTTGGTGGCTTGCTGCCCTAAGCTCTAGTGCCTTGGGCTTTAGGGATGTCTCCGAGTGCAAGCCACAAGTACCTCAAGGCCTTACTACTCAGTAAAAACAATCAGGTCTGTTGAAGTCTTGATAGGTAAGGAGGGGATGCTCATGTAGAACAACCCCTTTTAGTGGAGGTCGCGTCCCGTCGGCCTTCTGAAGAGAGGCGGGATGGGAGGCAGACTCCACAGCAGACTTGACGGATGGGGCCGGATGGGGCTGCATCCGCAGCTGCTGTCGCTGCAGCTGCCATCCGGCTGCACGGCCATGTGGGCTCAGACTTCGAACGTTGCTTACTCACATTCATTGCCTGGTCGCTTCTGATCTTCCAAGATTTGGGGCTTCGGGCTTAGGATCTTCCAGGATGTGGGGTTGGGTTTCGGGGGAGGGACAGCACCGGAAGTCTCTTCTGTGTGGGCAGATGCCTCTGACGGCAAGCTCGGAGCAAGAGACGCGAAATGGGAGAAAGCCGCAAGCAGCGACCATTCAACCCTTCCTGGCCCCGGCATATTGATTTAAAGGTAATCCAGATTGAAGCCCCCCCAATATACCTCCTAAGGCCCACTATAGGGTTTTTAGGGTCCCAAACCTCTAAACCCTCCAAAGCTTCTGAGCCCTCTAAACCCTACAAAGCCTAGCTAGAAAGCCCAGGATCCCCCAAAACTCTCTGGTGGAAACCCTAAACCCTAAACCCTACAGGTACTACAACGCCTAACTCGAAAGCCCAGGATCCCCAAAGCCCTCCGATGGCTCAGTGCCCGGCGCCCTGCCGGCCGAACCTGCGCTTGGCATCCTCGAGGAGGGGCGCGTGCCTGGGAAGGAAACTTGGCTTAGGGTCTAGGGTTTAGGGTTTAGGCTTTGGGTTTAGGGCGCTTCATATAACTATGACAAAAACGCGACTTCAATCTGTAGAAAAGTTAAACTATATGGCATGCAGGACTATGGACACTTGTGACAACAAGTTTAGGGTGCATTTTGGTCGCCAGGGAAGCGGTAGCTTGAACCAACAGCTCCGTTGACCAGCATTGGCAATCGAATGTGGGGGCTTGATGATACAATACAGTACGGCCCTACCAGGGGCTATTGTGCCCTATAACCCCTTAGAAAGGCACTTTCTAGGGTTGATTATGGGGACTATAGGGCCCAATAGCCCATCCTGGTAGGCCCTACAGGTGCGCGCAGGCGCGGAGGCCTGCACGAAGCAGTCGGGTGTCCGGATCTGGGTCCTGGGGAATTTGCTGCCAAGGATCAGCAGCACCCCTTCCATGTCGTGGGGAACGAAGGAATCGTCTCCAGCAAAGCAATGCGAAGTGATTCGATCTTGGCCGGCATTCATCCTGTCGATTGGGGGAGTGTCAGGGAGAGGAGGGAGAGAAGAGAGAGTGAGAAGCTCTCGGCCTAAGTACCTACGTGAAGTGACCTGAGAAGGCTTAGACATGTCATTGCAACTGAGCAATCCTCCCGCCTCCACCCCTCCTCGGACACGCAACCTTCATCGCCTGTCATTCCTAAACCTGCCAAGGGTCTGACGTCCTAAACACCTGAACTGCCAAAATCCGCAACCTTAAACCAGCAAACTAGACTCGACAAGACGGAATAGATCCCCAAGATCCCCAAAACCGAGCAAACCTACTCAACCCGATGAAATCAAACCATTTCCTGATCCTGCCCCTAAACCCTAAACCCTAAACCCTAAACCCTAAACCCTAAACCCTAAACCCTAAACCCTCAACCCTAAACCCTAAACCCTAAACCCTAAACCCTAAACCCAAACCCTCATTAAACCCCTAACCGTAACCCTAAACCAATTACACCCTACGTAAACCCTAACCCTAAGCCCCAATTCCTAAACCAAAATGTCCGTGCCTGGCCTTTTGAGGACCTGGTGGGAGACGCCCTCCCCAATGGCCGCCCAGGGCACATCACACTTGACCTTAGCTTCGGGATTTTTCCTGAGGATCCTTATTCTGAAAAGGGGGAATCTTCCCAAAACCCCGTAGTTCAGGAATGTACCCTACTAAGGATCCTTATTATTAAACAGAGTATATTCCTGAATTAGGGGTTTTTGGAAGATCTGGGAGCCAAACTTCATGCCAACATTATCCCTGTTATGACCGTATGTACATACACACATGCATATACAAATACACATACAAATTGAAGGTTTAGGATGTAGGGTTTAGGGTCGCAAGGCTTCGGGGCCCCACTTCACTGACGCTGCCTCGCTCACAGGGATGTTTAGTAAGGAGGCACCTCCAGGGCCCTCAGTCCACAAATCCCAGAGTGAGGAGGGACTTCCTCGGGACCAAATGAACCCTACAAGGGTTTATAGTCCATATACCTTAAAATGGGAAAGAACTGTAGGATGTATGACCCCTACGTTAGGGTGCATTTGGGTCCTCAGGGTTTTGCCACCTGGTGGCATCCTTCTCCTCGAAGCAGCAGAACTGCTCCTTTCCGTTGACGAGGCTTCCCTGCACGCAGCCGAGAGTCGCTGGGATTGTGACTGCAACCGTGCAGTACGCGACCCTCAACGACATGGGGAAGTTCTCTAAAGCAGAGTCCCTTGCGGTGTCCCAGAAGAATAAGGGGCCCTGATAGCACAACTCAAACCCCCCCCCCCCCCCGCCCCCTCCAAAAAAAACACAAACACAAAAAAAAAACAACGGATCCGAGTTTAGAGAACTTCCCCGAATTTCAAAACCTAAAGCTTCTATCTCCTATAGTCGCCAGCATGAGTGAGTGTGCGTGGTTAGGAAAATCTGTGGATCTTCAACCCTTGCGAGACATATAGGTAGAATGAAACCCGGGCCTTCTGCGAGAGAGGGCAGTAGTTCTTCATCTTCTCGATCTGCGCCTGGGGGTCTAAGGCTTACTTGCTGAGTTCATCTGCCCCAAAAAGTGTACACTTTCAGTTCTATAGGAATTATGTAGGATTATACTATGCCAAAAAGTGTAAAGTGTTCTCATTCAGGTAGTGACATGAGCCCTTAGTATGCTCCCTTGAAAGGGGTACCCCTTATCTGCACCTTATGTACCCTGTACAAATTATAAGGACCCAGACATCAGAAATCAGAACCCGTTTAAAGGAGATAAGGGGCCCGTTTATTGGCCCATGAAACTTCCCTAAGAGCCTGGGAGGGGGGGGGGGGGGTATCCCCCACATGGACAAGACTCAGACAGCTCAAGCCAGAGACGTCTAATGTCCCTTATAAGCTGTAGTCGGGGATGCAAAATCGATGCTTTTTTTAAAGGGATGTTGAGGGACCTTGGGACAATCTACAGATTGAACCAGCATCGCCCTCCCGCGACCTGCACCAAGCTGGGGCCCAGGCGTCGTAGACCCTGAGTTGGGAAGCAAGGCACGAAGTGCGGGGTACTCTGGCTAAAGAATCGGGCTGCAGGGCTTTTTCGGAGTTTGAGAACTTTAGAACCCTAAGGGTCCATGTACCTCACTTGCGCACAACAGTCCCTATCTAGGAAGTACTTTAAGGCACAAGTACTCAATATTCAGGTACATGGACTCTTAGGGGAAAGTTTCGGGCTTCTATGGGGGGGTGTCAACAGAGTAAGGGACAGGGCTTGGGTCAGGATCAGGGTGAGGAGGATCCTCCAAACCCTTCCAAGAACATGTCATCCTGGCCTTGTCATTCGCAACCCCAAAACGAAATCCTATGTAAATCCAGCCAACAACAAACCCGAAACTCCCAAACCCCAAGCCCCTAAACCCCTAAACCCCTACACCCCGAAACCCCGAAACCCCTAAACCCCCAAACCCGTAAACCCTTAAACCCCTAAACCCCTAAACCCCTAAAGCTCAAAACCCTGAACCCCCTAACCCCTAAAACCATAAACCCTGAAAAATCCCTAGAAGCCAAAATCCTAAAACCCTAACCCCACTAAAGCCCTAGAGCCCTGAACCCCAAAACATTGCACCCAAAACACCAAGCCCCCAAAACCCCAAAAAACCCAAACCCTAAACCCTTAACACTAAACCCCTAAAGCTGGGGATGTTCCCCCTTATAGTAACACTCCATAATTGGGATTCTAGCACCCCCCTATGACAATCCCTATTGAAGAGGGGGAGCATCCCAACCTAGAACCCTCAACCCCAAAAAACCCTGATCCCCAGACCCTAAAACCCCCAAACCCAAACCCTAAACCCCCTAAACCCTAAAGCCCGAAACACTAAACCCCGAACCCAAACCCTAAACCCCCTAAACCCCCCTAAGCCCTAAAGCCCTAAAGCCCTAAAGCCCTAAAGCCCTAAAGCCCTAAAGCCCTAAAGCCCTAAAGCCCTAAAGCCCTAAACCCTAAAGCCCTAAAGCCCTCCAAGACCGTCTCTCCACGAGCCGAGGGGCTCCTTGTGAAATCGGCTGCCCTTCGGCCCTAAAACCCTAAACCCCTCTATAAACCCTAAACCAAAGACACTAACCCCAAGACCCAAGACCCAAGACCCAAGACCCAAGACCCTAAACCCTAAACCCTAAACCCTAAACCCTAAACCCTAAACCCTAAACCCTAAACCCTAAACCCTAAACCCTAAACCTTCCCAGGGCCGAGGGGCTCCTTGTGAAATCGGCTGCCCTTCCGCCCCCCCAAGAAGTTCGAGCTGAAGCTGGCAGGGCACTCCTTTCCTCCCAAGGGCTTGTCGGGCTACTTAGGGTGCTTTTGGGGTTTCGGGTTTAGGGTTTAGGGTTTGGGGTTTGGGGTTTAGGGTTTAGGGTTTGGGGTTTAGGGCCTTAGGGCCTTGGGGGCTAAGGAGTTAGTGTTTGTTTTTGCTCCTCTCCTTCTCCGTCGCTCCTGCTCTACCTCTTCCATCCCTTCGGGCTCTCTGTGTGCGTTCTTTTGTCGTTTTTGGCGCGTCATTGTCTGCTCATCGTTTAGGATTCAGGTTTTTTTGCTTTTGGGTTCGGGTTTGGCTTTGGCTTTGGCTTTGGCTTTGGCTTTGGCTATGGAAGTTGGGATGTGAGGTCCGTGCTTCAGGGCCACGCCTGTTGCGCAGGATGGAAGACGTGCCTTTTAACTGGTCCCCCGAATAGGCTTTTCGCTGGGGCTAGGGATTTAGGGTTATAGGGTTTAGGGTCTATAGGGTTCAGGGCTACAGGGTTTAGGGTTTAGGGTTTAAGGTTTAGGGTTTGGAGTTGAAAGGTTGGGGGATTCCCAAGTCTTTGCAACACATGCCACCCCCGTCCGATCCTGCCGTGTTGCTGCCGGAGTATGACACCAAATCCAGATTGAGCACATCGATGACGGGATCCAAATCCTGGGCGGCTGATCTTCTCAACAAGAGGCCCTAAACTCTAAACCCTAAGTATGCCCTAAGCCTTAAACCCTAAACCCTAAATCCTTTAATCCTAAATGGCCAAAACCCTAAGCAAAACCCTAGACCCTGAGCCAATCCTGAACGACTAGGAAGTCCGTGTCCATGTAGATCCCGCCATGGTGGTAGATGACCGCATAGCGGACCTTAGCCACATGCAGGCTGCATCAGGGCATGAGAAGCTGGAGATTCAGGTTCGCAGGGTTTAGTGTTTGGGTGTAGGGTATAAGTTGCAGGGTAGGTCAGACTTGTACTGACATTCTTGCACACACACACACACACCAGCAGGAAAAACAGCTCACACCTTTGAGTGCAGGGCCACGTCGGACTTGCAAGCCTGGTAGGGCAGCTTGAAGTACTCCTGGGTGGTTCAAAGAAGTTTTGGCTTGAATCGGGCAAACTTACGGCTTCGCAACCTTCCACCAATGCCCCCAACCCCCCCGAACCATAACCCCTAAACCCTAAGCCCCAAGCCCTCAACCCCCCCTCCCCCCCGCCCCATCTAAAAATTAAAACAAAACAACATTGCCATGCCGTGGATGCGTTCCTCCGGAAGGTCAGGAATCCAGTCCCGCAGGTTGCGCTCATTCAGGAAGATGGGCTCGCCACCTCAGCAAGTCATGCTCCATGTCCTTCTACCCTATAAAATCCTACCCGGACCCTCAAAGTATGTGAAACAAAGTAGCCCAAAACCCATAAGCAAAAAACCGTGCCGTTGTGTTACATACTTTGGGGTGTTTAGGTCAAGTCCCTTATCCTCCGGCAGCCTGCCTTTCGGGTTCTTTTTTGAGTTCAAGAAATGGTGTCGGGAGGTCCCGGCAGGTGCTTCCTGACTCAGGAGTCGAGGGTCTGAGACGTTCGCCTCATGCAGGATATACTAGGTCCTAGGTTGCCAAAGTAACAAAGGGTGCCATTCTTTGCTTAAAGGGGTCTACGGTCTACAAAGGAACCTACACGCCCAAAAAAAGGGTGAACAAGGGCACTACTGGGCATCCTAGTATAGCTGTCAGAGTGACCAGAATTCCAAGCAGGTTATCATCATCGGGCTATAAAGTGCATAGGATCAAAAGGTGAGTTCCTCAACAAGAACCTAGTATACGAGATGTGAAAGACGCACTGCACACTGCAAGCGATTACGCCGAACACTCCACCTCACAACAGTCTTTTCTGAAAGCAGAAGCCAAGGCGGCGGCAGCGACCGTGTGAGTGGCGTCGCCAAGACTCGATGTTCAGGCGAACCTGATGGGGGAGGGACTTAACAACGAGAAAGATTTGAACACCTAAAGCCCGAAAATCTGGCAAACCCTATAGACCCTAAACGTCGAAATCCTGACCATGTAGCAGTTAAGGGTCTTTAAGGCTTCTCAGAGTGTGGCTGTTTCTGGTGCTAGAAGTAAGGACACCCAATTACGTTGTCTTTTTACAGAAATGTGTGCAATTGTGTGTGTGTGTGTGGGCGCGTGCATGTATTGGTGTATTGATTTGTTTTACTGGGGGGGAGAAGCAGGTTGACGTGATTTTTTGGGCCTTATACGATTTCAAAGAGCACAAGTATACACACCAAACAGGAAACTCCAATTGGAAGGGCTACTGGGTAGCTCTCCCCTAAACCCTAAACCCTAAACCCTAAACCCTAAACCCTTTTGTCATAAGGTTAGAGGGGGGGTCCCCCAGATTTCCACCCCCAGGTTGAGGGTGGACGCCCAAGGATGATGGATAGGCTGTGGCAGCCACGCATGTCTGCATAGCGGGGTTTGGGGGGGGGGGGGGGGGGGGGGGGGGGGGGAATGGGTCATCAAGTCATGCAAGGCGACACGTTGTTGCTCATTTTTTTCTCTTCCTGAGCGGTGGGGGCTCAATCAGTCTGCAAGCTGCATGACGATGTCTTTCAGAGCAGCGTCACTGGGCCTCGCAGGGAGAAATGCGAGGAGGAATATCGCCTAGCGTATTATTTCATTGGTTACCCGAACTGTCCTCTTCCAATCCTTGTCGTAGTTGGTCGATTTGTCAAAATGACGGTGGTATGTTCGCTCCACGAACGAGAAAACAACATCCAAACTTTGAACTTGTTGATTCACCAGCTCTTGCCCGACGATGCCCGGCGACCATGACTGCTGCTTGGTTCGCTGCACGCCTGGCGGCGTACCTGGGCGCAGAGCGCAGGGGCTGAACGCGGAAAACAAAACTTAGACTTTAAAAACGGAGGTTATGAAGGCCACTCTTTGAATACAGCGGCTTTTGAACTCCACGCCCACTTGCCGGTTCTTGGGGCGCCATTTCAAGTACAGTCCATCATCTAGCGGCGGTAGGAGGTCTCGCAACGCTTCCGGTGTCAATGCCCTCGCTGTGCTGCGACGGGATGCGTGGCTCCCGACATGAGGCTGAGACGGCAAGTCCGCTTCTCTTTGCGCATCTTCTGCTGCTGGGCGATCAGGGCGAGGTTCTGGTTCTTCATCGCGGTGAGGTTCTTGTCCTTCCTGGCGGGGGGCTGGTGCCTCATCGTGGCGAGGTTCTTCTGCCTCTTGGCGGGGCTCTGGTTCTCCTGGGCGAGGATCACGGGCACGGCCATCTGCCGGGCGAGGTTCTTCTGCAGCCCGGTTTCGTTCAGCATTCCCCTTGCCGGCAGTTTCCTTTCGTGAGCGCCGCTCCAAGAGTCTGCCCGCCTCCTTCTGTACCTCCTTGAAGTGTTCTCGGTTGTCCTGGTCCATGTTGCGTATCAAGCGAAGAATTTCTTCAGGACATAGCTCGTCATCGTCGTCCTCTTCTGCATCAGGCTGTGTCTCTCGACAGAGCCTTTTGCGCACCTGGGCGATCGTTTCCTCACTCTCTCCGTCGAGGACATTGCTCAGCAGTGCGTCCACAAGATCTGCTTTCAGAAGACGTCCTCGTGGTCGGTGCTGCGGGAAGGGAATTTGTTCCGCAGCCATGCATTTCTCCACCTGGGCCTTTGTCAACTGCACGCCGTTGAGTAGCGCAGACTTAAGCAAACCATTGGATGTCATAGAGGTTCGTTTCAAGCATATGAGATTCCCTGCTTCGCAGGAGGCGGGTGGCACAATCTGGCATTCGATGTGCACGTAGTCACTGTCCCTGCCTGGCGAGGAGTTCCAGACAAAGGTGGGCAACGCCTCCGCGGCAGTCTCGTCGCTTCGCAAACGGAGATATACCTGGTGTTTGGGTCTGGTTTGTCTGCGATTATCTAGATCGGCCGAAGCTTATCAACTGTAAGCTGCAACACCCCAACAGACCTTGCCCGAAGTACATGACTTCTCGAAGTTTGCCCGGTTGCGTCGTCCTCGCACACCAGAGGCTGCAAAACGACAGCCAAAGTCACATATTTCATGAAGCCGAGCGAGAGGATGTACTTCCTTGTTGCCCTCTCCTGGTACACCTGCCCCAAGACCAAAAGGCAGCCTGGGCACTGCTGCGAACGCAAGGTAAAAGCGTAGCGGCGGGCTACGTGCAAAACCAGAACAATGAGCTAACACAAAACCAAGACTCCGCTCCAAACATTTTCCAAGGCAGCAAAGTTTACTCCTCGACGTTCATCCACGAACTGCAACACGAAGGCATGGGCCGCTGCGCTGTGCCTCTGCGACAAATAGCCAGCCGGTCTCCATTTTTTGATGTTGTGCGGCGTGACCCCTTCCAATGGAAGCTTGTAGAACTTCGCTGCGAAGGCCCCGAGATCTTGGAAAGCATTGTTGTCTTCAGCAGTTTGCAATCTAACGTCCTCTGGCAGTGGCCTAATGGGGTTGCAGCCGCCGGCACCAGCGTACGGACATGAAAGCAAGTACAGCATCTTTGTTGCCACGTGAAACTTGTTTGCCTTGGATTGCCTGGCCACTGCGTCTGCCAGCCAACTGAACGCGTTCTCACATGTGGACTTTGTTTCGGCTGAGCTACCGAAGGCCGAGAACGCCAAATTACGCATTCCCTGCGAGCACAGATCCCATTCATGCTTGGCGCCGTCCATCAGGATTTCACGGGTCAGGACCCAATCCATGGTTCCCAGATCATCGACGAGTTCTGCAACCAGCTGTCGTCTGGACTTGGGCACGTCTGGCCTTGGCTGGAGCGCCTCGTTCAGCAGGTGCAACTGTTGACTGATCTTTTCGAAAAACTCTTGCACCTCCAACAGCAGATCGTGTCGCGGAAGGAAAACCTGCGCCAGGCAGTGAGGCAACGCAAGCGTGTGATGCAGTTGCGACCAGCATCGCGCGGAAGCCACTTGAGCCACCAAACGGAGTAGATGCTGGCAAGCAGCTACCTCGTTCCTGTCTTTTCTGCGCGCGCGGTTGACATGCAAACTACACTCGAGCAAGCCTACACCCCGAGGGCAGAAAAAAACTTGACTGAATTTGAAATAGAGCGTCTGGTTGTCTTGCACAGGAACTGCCTCAGCATCTGGTTGTCGCTCGCGAAGATCAAGAGCCTTGAAGACATCTCGGGATTCGAAAAGTTCGAACATGCGAACAACAGTTTCGAACCACTTCCCATAAGATCTCCACGCTTGCCATTCCAGTTGCTTTTGAAGTCCTTCCTTGTGCGCGTCCAGAGCCGCCGTGTACTCAGTCTGAAGTACTCGCCCCACAAGGATGAGCACCCGAACTCGTACATGGTGAGAATGATCATGCATGAAGTCCTCGACCTGGGTTGTGTGTGCTTCACTGTAGCAGTCTGCAGATTGCGAGGCGTACATGAAACAAAAGTTCACTAAGCTTTCTGGAACAAGTCCCAGATGCCGCTGCGTCATTGCTCTCGTAACTCTCTTTCAACAGGTTGAACGCCGCCCTAGTGTTGGGCTCGTCCTCAGCCACCACTGTGGCCCTCGCTGCAGGACCGTTCCCTCCGTCACCTTGTTCGTCTTCAGCTTCGTCGTCGTCGTCGTCCTCCTCCTCCTCACACACGTCGTCGTCCGGCACCTGCGAGAGTTTCGCTATTGATGCATTAAAAGCTAGAAGAACACATGTAACATTACAGGCACCATCACGTTGGGTGTGGGTGTGTGGGTGTGTGGGTATGTGGGTGCGTGGGTGTGTGGGTGTGTGTGGTTGTGTGGGTGTGTGGGTGTGTGGGTGTGTGTGTGTGTGGGTGGGTGTGTGTGTGTGTGTGGGTGCGTGCGTGCGTGCGTGCGTTTGTGCGTGCGTTTGCGCGTGCGTTTGCGCGTGCGCGCGTGCGTGCGTGCGTGCGTGCGTGCGTGGGTGGGTGGGTGGGTGGGTGGGTGTGGGTGTGTGTGTGTGTGTGTGTGTGTGCGTGTGTGTGTGTGTGTGTGTGTGTGTGTGTGTGTGTGTGTGTGTGTGTGTGTGTGTGTGTGTTGTGTGTGTGTGTGTGTGTGTCTATGTGTCGGAGCGGAAGGAAGCGGAGGGGAGGGGAAGGGGTGGAGCGTCTCTCTCTGTCTCTGTTTGCGTGCGCGTGTGTGATGTTTGTGACGTGCGTGATATGTCTAACGGTTATAACGTTTGTTTGCGGGGTTCTTTGTTTGTTTGTTTGTGTGTTTGTTTGTCTGTGTGTGGGTGCGTCTGTGTCTGTGTCTGTGTCTGTGTCTGTGTCTCTGTCTGTGTCTGTGTCTGTGTCTGTGTCTGTGTGTGTGTGTGTGTTTGTTTCATGTGTGCGTTTCTCTGTGGTTGCATGGGCGGAGGGTGGGGGGGGGGGGGGTGGGCATGTGCGTCTCTGTGCGTCTCTGTGCGTCTCGGCGCGGGTGTGTTCCTGTCGCCTGCTGCAAACTGTGGTTGCCGTTGCACATCGCCAACACGTCCTCGAGGATGCTCCAATCGTAGTCCAAGGCAGCGAATGAATCGAGTATCCCAAACCAGCTTTTGTTCTTGGCCTCACAAGCTGCGCGCAATCGTGCGTTGTAACGACTAGCCCAACACAACTTAGCAGTGAACACGGCCGGGACGCATATGGCAGTCGTCGTTTCGCAGCACGTGACTTCAAGACTTCTTCTCGAGTCAGTGGCCCTCCTCCTCCCTGCCAACCTCGATCCCAATTCACTCGCTCTGTGAGGTTTGCCATGTACTCCGGCTCGTACTCTGCCAGGTCCATGAGTCTCTTTGCGGCGGCATGAATTCCCAACCTTCTCTTTCCCGACCGCCACGGACCCGCTCCGTGATTGACGGTGTGAGTGGCCTTCAGGAGGGTGGACATCATCCTTGCCTTTCCAAGACTTCTCTTGAAGTCATTCCATAGAGGATGACAAAGCTCGGCCACCGCCAACCCACGGCCGTGAAGCGTGC